ATAACCTTTGTAATCTGTCTCATCTCAAATCCATTTTGAAGCTTCTAGCCTATATATCATTGTATGTATTAACCCTGCCAACTTTCGTACTATTTCTGCAATACAAAGTACTGGTGTGAGCATGTACGTACCAGAGTACGAATGATCCGTGGCCATGCCAACACACATCTGCGCAGGAGAGCAGGTATACTACTACCGGCACAAACATTAGCCCCTACACGTACATGTAGGAGTTAGCCCAAGCCACCTGCATACACGCATTAGCTAACTCGCTTGAACACATACACACCGTCACTTAACCGCAGGACGTCTGGGCACGACCCATGTGTGTGCTCCGTCGTCGCTACAGCTGAAGTCAGACAAGTACGGCTTTACTGAGAGGGTAAGTCCATCGTCCGTCCGTATCAGACACTGGGCAGGATAGCTAGCTTACACGTGTATAGAAGCAAGATATATCATGTACACAAGTGTATAGAAGCAAGAGATATCATGTACATGTGTATAGAAGCAAGAGATATCATGCACGAACACTTACTACGGTGATGAGGCGAGTGTACGCTTGTGTATATACCCGCAGTATGTCTGTCATGGCATCTGCAGTGGTGGGTCTATAGGTTCTATAGGGTGCGTAGGTCAGGCTTGTGTGTAGTGAGACAGTACAGTTCAACTCATCCGTGGTATCAGTTTTTATGCATATACTATACCATACGCGTGGGTACGTTTGAGGACATGCAGACAACAGTTCGGTACTAAAGCACGGGAATACTAAACATGGTCCAACTCCATGACTTCCTTAGTAGACTGTGGCAGTTGTATGCAAAATGTCCATACTACTTGCACCTGTCCCTTTTACCGAAGGTTCAGGTGCATGTGCCTGGTCCAGTATCTGCGTGTATCTCAGTGAGAGGTCCACTTTAATTGTCCACTGCTAACAGACGGGTACAACGGATGAGAAAACTATGCTGGTGGTGCGCACCCGCGGCAATCCGCCCGATCATGAGCCAATCAAATACAACTTTGATCTTCACGAAGACAAGTACGTTATCTGTGGGGATCCTACCTACCAACAGTGATAATGTGGAGTACTACCATAGTATATATATACATACATATTTACACACACATATATATATATATGTATATGTATGTATGTATGTATGTATGTATATGTAAATGTATATGTATATGTATATGTATATGTATATGTATATGTATATGTATATGTATATGTATATGTATATGTATATGTACATGTATATGTATATATGTATATATATGCATAGGTAGTGATACTATTTGATGTACTATTCTAGCAGAGGTGTATGCACTGATTGTAAGGGTAGTTTCTAGTTACTGTGTGACACGCCTCAGATGTGAAGAGTTTCCGAGGGGGTGTTAACTTCCCAACTGG